AGAACAAATCCCTCTATTCATTGAATCAAGAGAATGTAGCTATATATCTATTATAACCACTTTGAATACACAGATACAAAATGGTCATTCATCTGCATCCCCTTTTTTTGTTTAGTTCTGTCATTTAAATATTATAAGTGTGTGAATCCTGAGGGGATTTGACTGACCTTATCAGATCCAAAAGCTACAATTCTTATTACATGGGTCTTGCTTTATCTTGGTCTTAACCATCCAGCAGAAAAGTATAAAAAGATAGGCCCTCTTGAGGCCCACACCTTCCCACTTTTTCCTGATTCTTCTCCTTTACAGATGCATACTAAGGACACGGTAGATAAATATTTTACTTTTCTAGACCTTACCTTTCAATGGGGGAGAGCAAGAGGCTATACAAAAATACACATGTCAGGTTCCGTAAAGAAGATGAAGCAGGCGGGGTAAGAGTGATAGTGGGGAGCACAAACAATACTTTGTACTGTGGCTAAGACCCGCCAAGGAAAGTAACTGCTGCTGAGGGTCTTATTAAGATTCTTAATTAATAATCAGTAAGCACTTGTAATAAGTGCTTGTTACACTGGTCAGCTTAGTGTAATTTTCCAGATTAGAAAAATGAATACTTAACACACAGAACAAAGTGAAGATTCCATGAAAGCTGTAAACCCCAACAACTGGAACTTAGGAGATTTACAAAACAGGTAGGTGTAGGAGGGCACTGAAATCTGCAGGGAGCAGCAGGCACAGGACGGCTCTTTTGTGTGGCTCTGACCTGAGAGCAACTGCGACTGCTGTCCACACAAAAGGCCGCACGGCTGTCTGAAATTAACAGAAAGTGTATGGTGTTTGTGTGGGCAGATGAACCAGAGAAAGGAGCCTGAGGCAACAGTCACCACAACAGTGACAATAAAGGGGAATCCCAGAAAGAAGAAAAGAAAAGAAGTCACAAATTCTTTATATAAATGTATCCAAGTTTAGAGCTGACTCCTGTAATTCCAGCACTCGGGAGGCTGAGGCAGAAAAATCACTGAGAGTTGGAGGCCGCCCTGGGATATATAGTGAGTTCAAGGTCAGTTGGAACTGCATAGTAAGTTCAAGGCCAATTTGAAATGCATAGAATGATCTGTCTCAAACACCCACAATAATAATAATAATAATTAAGTACATCTGACTTTTTTTATTTTTTTATTTTTTCCCATAATTTTATTGATAAACAAATAGCAATGAAACAGTTTCAAATCAAATCGGTAGGACAGTTTCAATAATTAACACACTGCATACATTCTTCCTAGTGGTTAATTGCTGTACAAGATGCAGACTTGATATCCTATTTACAAACACCATTAGAACAAATCCCTCTATTCATTAAGAGAACGTAACTATATATCTATCAAAACCACTTTGAATAC